GATAGCTAGATAATAGATGATACAATATACACACACATCAACGTATGCACACACGAACACAAATAAACCTACACACACATATACACACAGGAAAAAGGGGAAAGTTTTTAAAAAGTAATATAATGCCAACTATATTAGTATTCTATTGCAGCTTTCCCAAATTGCCAAAAATTTATTATTTAAAACATAAAAGTTTATTATATTTCTAGAAGAGACTAAATTAAGACWGCAGCACTGAATTATTTCTGCCATCTTCAGGACAGAATCTATTTCTTCACTTTTCTGCTTCTAGAAGACACTTTGTTCCTGCCTCCTGGCCTCTGCCTCTATTTGTCAGCAACATAGTATCTCCTGTTCTTTCTACATTCTCCATCTTCCCCTGATAAGAATCTAGGATATTATTTCCATTTCAAGATCCTTTATTTAACCCCTTTGTAATGTAAGTCTATATGTAATTAAATGTTTCAGTGATCAGAATGTGAATATTTTGAGAAAGCAGGAGACATTATTCATTTGACCACATCAAGAAATAAATATGGATATAATTTTATAAATTTCCATCTGGCAACCACCACAGAAATCATTGTTTCCGGGAAGGATTATAAAGAATGTTTGTTAATAGACTTGTGGCTGGAGGTTACTCCAAAAACAAAAACTACACCTCATATCAACATATTTTGCCACATGATACTCATGAAATACCAAGGTAGACAAGTTAACTTTTTAGTAAAAATGTGGACACGTTTTAAAGAAAGAATTGGAATTAGTATCACTAGTGGAATAGATGAATACCATATACCTCTAATAGAAGGCAKAGGAAGACACAATAGCATCTCTGTGGTATTCCCACCCAAAATGAGTAACTTCAATGTTATCATGCATGAATAGCTAATAAATTTATATAGAAGGATATTATGTGAAATAATTGGCCTGTAATCTTCAAAACCTTTAAGATCATAATAAACAGAGAAATAGCGAGGAATGTTCCAAATTAGAGACTGAGACAAATCTCTCATTTCTGATACTGGCTCAGGTATTTTCTGTAGCAAAATACTCTTGTGATCATCTGAAGAAAATGTGCTATAATATAGAAAATATTCTCAAATTTATATTAACATTTTATTGTCATATATAGAGAATAATTTAAGTGTATGTTAATGTTATATTATTATACAGATAGCATGGAAAAATACTCTCTAAAATATTTACATTGATGAAATCTGGTTAAAGTCTATGGTAAGATTTTGTGCAACTTTCACAACTTTTCTATAAGCTGTTTGTGGTTATGGAATTACAATTTGTCCTTGGTGATTTGTAATTGTCAGTGTATAATCTTTCAAATTACTTGATGTTGTCATAATACATGATGACTGTATCATCCCTAAAGCAAAATGGGACAGTAAAATTTCATGTCTCTGAATGTTCCCTTTCAGTTCTCCAAAACTTAGCCAAGATAAGGGGAAAATAAGAGCAAGCTTGACCACAAAATTCAGATGTATATTATCTTAAAGAACAATGGGTTTCTCTTTYGCATATGGAGAATTAGGTCAAGTTAGTGTTATCTGTAAAAAGCTACTTTCTTGCAGGTACCCCAGGTCATTTTCTCCCTGGGATGATGATCATACAAGCAAGCTAATGCTGAGGAGGTCATTGCTTCTGTGGCCTAACATTAAAAACCCTTTCTTAACAGGAACAGGCCTGGAAATGAAGGTACTGTGAAAAGAATATGRCCATCAAGGAACAAAATACTGTGAAGGAGAAGAGGCATTACTTGGCAARCATCATAGGGAATGGAGGTGCTATCTGTTAGTATGTAACCATTGACTGGACCATTAACTCATGTCTTCCAAGCTTTCCCCAACAATCATGTCACCCAAGCTRTCTCTGGACATTTGCTGTGGCCTGCCTGCAACCTACCACATTGCCCTGGCACAATTGGGCTCTAGATGATGCAATGATACAATGACCAGTACTTTTTCAGCTCCATGTTATAAAACACAATTAGAAATCATGAATATAAGGTCATGTAAGAGAAAAAAAAACAGATATTATCTATAATTATGTGGTGACACATTTGTGCCAATAATCCTGTCCTGCAGAGTAACAAAAGAAATAATTGAGTAGAAGAAATATATTTCACAGCACTATGCATTAGGTGAAGTGGAAAAATATTTGAAGAAATCTGTGTAGATGGGAGAAGGAGTTTGTAGAGTATAGGCATTGTGCACTRTGACGCTCCATTCTTATCTAGGACAACAATGACTTCAATTTTGCTTCTTAAGTTCCTTGTGGCACAGATTCTCATGTACTGTCCCAGTGGCAACTGATTAACTCTGGCTTAACATTTAGTGTTGGCAATGGGTGGCGGTGGTGGGGGTGGTTTCAGAGCTTCTAGTTTGTTTGGGGTGTAATTGATCATAAGAGAGGATCACCAAGAAAACGAAAAATCCATTATTGCACCCTGATCGCATCAGTGAAAAGTGATTTAAACTCAGTCGTGCCAACTATTCTATTCCCTTGAATTTTCTCATTTTCTAAGTAAGAAAATAGATAGCTATTACTCTCACCTGTGTTAAGGTTTCATAAGACTCTTGTAGCTAGTTTGAAATAAACAAAACAACAGAAACAATAATATTGGTGTTATTCTTTAAGGAAATTTTTGGCATATGATCTACATTGTCAGTGATCAGGACTTAGTTTCATATGTGCTATAATTAAAGCATCCAAAAATTTTTTAAAAAGTGTATATATTGAAAATAAAATGCAATTTTTTAAGCAGAAAAGTGAGAAAGAAGAACATTATGTTAAAAAGTTGAAAATATAGATGGAATGATGTATGAAACTTGAGAAAAGAGGTCTTTCCATAACTGTTCCTGCCCCAACCCCAGTTCAATGTGGAACAATTTGAACATAGCTAAAGAAGACCAGTGAGGAACCACAGTGCCTGGAGTAGCACATAAAGAAAAAAGGAAACTTTAGAAAATAGTAGGAAGGGCAGTTTCCCAGCATCTGCATCACCTTTCCTCTACACCTCTGCCTCTTATCACAGAAAGATTCCCTGATATGGAAAATAGAGAGTGAAGTCAGCACCTGACTTTGCTGCAGACCTCAGCACTAGCATCCTCCCCAGTGTTGAAACCCTGCACCAGTCATCCTCTGTGGCACCATAGTTCAGACCAGAACAAGCTGGCTTGTGCCTGTGGCCCTATTTCCAGTGGGCCAAGAACCAGGCCACCATGGTAGGTGTCACCTCACATCTCACAATTCACTCTGTTATTATGTTTATCATGAAAAAGACAAAAGAAAGTATCAGTGAGCATGTGAAGAAAGGGGAATAGTGTAAGTGCTGTTGGGAATGTAAATTAGAATGATAATTTTGAAGAACTTTATAAATATTAGATGAATTTTAAAAGCCCTCAAAACTACAGCTCGCATTTGACTTTGAGATAAAATCCAAGCATCTCCAAGCTATTATGCATATCAAATTGTCATTTACTCATTATTCTACTCCAGTTAATATAACTTAAACTGAAAGAGTGACATATAGTAAATAATCTTAAATGGATTTTGTTAATAATAATAAAGTTTGCAAAATTTTCTGTTTTTAAAATACATTTCTTTATTTGGAAAATATAAAGGTAACTTTCATAATGTTCTTCTTAGACATTAATACTCAAATTAGACCAAGATTTAAAAAATAACTTTCCATGCAATGGCTTTTAATCTTAAAAATATTCCAGTGTTTTCCAACAATTATTTGAAATATCCATTGGTGTCAAGTAAATTTAAGAGTCCTGTTCTCAATTGTCTCACATATTCTCTATAACAGGATATGCAGRTGCTCCAAGAATTTCCTCTACCTAACTCTTCCTAGCCTGTGATGATATTACTTGACCAGCTATATGTCACAGTTTCTAAATGTATCCACCTCCAAATCAAGTCTCACTTCTTGAAAAAAAAAGGAATGTTAGATGATCCATTTGGCTATATTATTTCAGATTCATCTTGTTATAACTTGTAAAATTTATTTTCTTATTATTAATAAAGATATGAAAGAATTTGGACCTGATTTCTTCCTTATATTTGCCATGTGTATTAGTCCATGTTCTGTTTCTATAACAATATTCCTGAAGTTAGRGACTTATAAACAAAAAGAGGTTTATTTATTTTAAAGTTTTGAAGGCTCAAGAGCATGGAAATGTCATAGATCAGTTTTGGTGAGGGCTTAAAAATAGGTGCCATTGTGATAGTCCATTATATGAGAATGGGAAAGATAATGTGACATGACAAGCATAGAAATTTRGGGGCAGGCTTCCTTTTGTCTGACAACTTTCACAGGAATGGGCAATCAGAGTCCCATAAGAAGTATAGTAATCTCTTCCAACTTCAGAAACCATGATAATTTTATAACCTTCCAGTGGGTGACAACTCTTCATCACCACTTCACACTGCCATGCTAAGAACTGCATTCCAGTACATGAATTTGTAGTGACACACTGAAATCATATTCAAATCATAGCTATATGCAACAAAGGATAGTAATGGAGAGAAATAGTTAAGGTATTTTGCTATGTGTATACCTAAACTAAATACACAAGACAAAGTATTCTGCCTAAAAAGCAAGAAATTAAAAGACTTATTGTAAAGATGAGTTAAACTGAGCACATTGACTTTGCATTGAAATTCTGAACTGCTATTACATCAATAGTTACAAAAAATTTCTGAATCATTTTCAATTTTAAAAGACTTTGAGTTCTTTTGGATTGCAATATGGAAAAACAACTGTTGATATTTGGTCTTGATTTACATGGCTGTGTTCTCCATAATTGAATGCTATTTAGGTAGATTGTGTTTTATTAATGTATGTTAGGAAGAACTCTGTGGCCTGGTAAGAGTAGTTGTTCAATAAGCGTTGAGTGAGTAAGTGGCTGAATGGATAGATGGATGAACCATTGGTGAAGAGATACACCATTATACTATGAATGTCAGAGTCATACAGGTTATTCTCGCCCCATTAATCTCTTAASTGCCCCTCTTACATCTTTGTTTCGGAGGGTATAGATGAGTGGGTTGAGGCTAGGTGTGACAACAGTATAAAACAGAGCAATGAACTTGCCTCGGTCTTGAGAATTTTCAGTTGATGGTTGAAGATATATGCACATAACTGGAATGAAAAAGAGGGAGACCACCATAAGATGGGCTCCACATGTCCTGAAGACTTTCTGAAGTCCAGTAGTTGACTGCATCCTCAGTACTGCCTGAGCAATGGCACCATAAGAGGTAAAAATGAGAATAAGGGGTACAAGAACAAAAATAGAGCTGGTGACCATAAGAGTCAGCTCATTAGCATGAGTGTCAAAACAGGATAATTGCAGGAGTGCTGGTACTTCACAGAAGAAGTGATCCACTTGACGATTTCCACAGAGGGGTACCCAGAGGATAAAGAGAGAATGAACTGCTGAGTTGGTAAAACCACATACCCAAGAAGCCACAGCAAGCAAGTGGCAGAATCGAGGGTGCATGAGGACAGTGTAATGCAAGGGTCTACACACAGCTGCATAACGGTCATAGGACATCACCATCAACAGGATACACTCTGTGGCTCCTAAGGCAAGGACAAAATAAAGTTGAACCATACAACCAGTATAAGAAATGGTCTTCTCTGGGCCCCACAAGTTCACCAGCAGTTGTGGGAGAGAGCTTGTAGTGTAGCAGAGATCCAGGAAAGAGAGATTTGAGAGGAAGAAGTACATGGGAGTATGAAGATGGGAATCCAGGTAAGACAAGACGATGATGAACATGTTGCCTATCAGTGTCATCAGGTAGAATATCAAGATCAACACAAAAAGAACTACTTCCAGGTGAGGCCAATTAGAAAAACCCAACAGAATTAAGTAGTCTTCAGAGGTACCATTGAATTTTTCCATCATCATTTGTTTTCTGTTACCTGCAGGAAACAGTTGCATAAACACACACACACACACACACACACACACACACACACACACACACACACCATAAAGACGTGGTTCAAGAACCAGAAGGATACACGAAGAAGGTATTTAGAAGGTCTAAATTATTTCCTCACACACACACACAAAAAAAAACTTGCTAATTACAAAGTAAAAAGTGGAAGGACATGGTGGACACCCTTATAACATGACACTTGTCAACTTCACCAGTTTTAAGACAAGCTAACAATATGTGGCTGCTGATGTGATTCTCTGAACATGATGCAGTGTAATTTCAGAGATCTTACTTCCACAAATACAGAGCTTATTTCTAATAATGAAGACACATAACCCAAACTCAAATTGAAATTAAGCATATAGTGTGTAACCTTTAAATTGTAAAGGTCAATGATGGCAATGAGAATGAGGAAGTCGTCCAAATTAAAAAAGACAAACAAGGCAGGATATCTCAATAGGTGGCCATATACTAGAAAAAATAGCTACTAACAATATTATTAACACAACTGGGAAAATCTGAATATGCACTAGCAATTAGATAATATTATCCCCTTAATTAATTTACTGAATTTGATATCCATACAAAAATTATGTAAAACACTGCCCTTTTTCTTAGATAATAAACAGTGAAGTATTTAGCAGTAAATGCCACATCTTCCAAGTACACCAGTGGATATTATATATCATAGACTGATAGGCAGATAAATGTATAGACATATGATCAATAGATAATAGAAAATAAGATARAAAGCTAGAGGTAAAACAAAATGTTCTTATGAAAATGTAGTCTGGTTAAAAGAAAAATGTAGTGCTTTGTACTATTTATGTCAGCTTGAAATATTACTGAATAAAGAGTTATATAAGGAAATAACACTCAGTTTTAAAATTTCATATGTCATAACTTTTAAACTATTGACTTTTCATATATTTTAGAGAGATATCTGAGTAATGGTAATTGAAGATTAGAATGCCTGATCTACTGAGGGAGGACAATTTTCATGGAACAAATCATCTTTATTAATAAGTGACTTTAGTTTTCAGCATTTGTAGTTTACTGCCATTTATCTGGTTATATCACTGAATTCCTATTCAGGTAATCATACATATGGATGAAATACATGATGAAGAATATCAAATTTGATGGTGATTTAAGTATGCTTACATAGAGTAAATTATATTTAGATTCAATTAGATATGCTTATAGAACTTCGAGGAGAGCCTTACGTCTGATTCAATTACTTCCACTCAAAGCACTAAATGAAAATACATTTTGAATTGAGATAGCAGCAAAATGGCACATAGTCACATCCACATCAACTCATGAGTGTTAAGCATTTACAAAAGCTAGAGACAAGAGTATTAGAATAAGAAGGCACATTAGCAGGCCTCTAAATCTCAGTGATTCAGGAGGCTGAGGCAGGAGGATCACAAGTTCAAAGCCAGCTTCAGCAACTTAGTGAGGCCTTAAACAACTCAGCGAGACCCTGTCTCTAAATAAAATATAAAAGGGGTGGGAGGTGGGTGGGCTGGGGATGTAGCTCAGTGGCTAAGTGCACTGGATTCAATCCCTAGTACCTCCTCATGCCAAAAAAAAAAAAAAAAAAAGTGTTAGAATGATTCCTGAAGAATGTGTTACTCTAAAAAAAAATTTAAAAAGAGAAAATTTTAGAAAGATAAAAATTCAGTGAAAAAATCTAGAATGAAATAAAGGTGTGAGGAGCAGAACACTGAAGAGGAACCTGATGATAGCAGAGATGGGAATATGAAAGCTGAGAAGTATGAAAGCACTGGGCTTCAGGAGATTTTCTACCTRAATCACTGTTTTCTCTAGGACAAAAACTTATACAGTATTTAAATCTTCACCATAGGCTTTAACTCTTATATATTTTTATCTCTCATTTAAAGAAGATTGTTTATATTTAATGAAACTGGTAAATAGGTTTTTTTTTTTTCATAATATGCTGCACCTAGTGAATCTTGTTTTTGTTAAAAATAAACTACAGGGGCTGGGGATGTAGCTCAAGCTGTAGTGCGCTCGCCTGACATGCACAGAGTACTGGGTTCGATCCTCAGCACCACATAAAAAAGATTAAAAATAAAATAAATATGTTGTGTCCACTGAAAACTAAAAAAAAAGTAAATATTAAAAAATTCTCTCTCTCTTTCTAAAAAATAAATAAATAAACTATATTTCACAAAGTTATGACTCTTTTTAAAATTTTTTAGTTGTAAATGCATCTTTTACTTTATTTATTGTTTATATGCGGTGCTAAGGATCAAACCCTGGACCTCACACATGCCAGGCATATGSTCTACCACTGTGCCACAACTTCAGCCCCACAAAGTTATGAATCTTAAGTGAATCTTTTTAATCTGTTAGTTTTTAATTTTTTATCAGAAAGATTAGTACAGTTTTTTGTTATATAGTTACTGTGACAATTCATACTAACCCAGAGTTTAAATATCCCTTTTGCTCCCTGAATCCTTCCCCTTATCCAATTTTGCCACATTCTTCAGTTCTCCTCACATGGACAWTTTTTTTTCTCTYACACTTCCCAAGTAACTATGACAGGAAAAGAAAGAAATCACAGTAGAGCCACTCCTGATTTCCTGGTTTGGGGTTCTCTTAGATGCTCATATTTTAAAATTCAACTCTTATAAAAGATGTCAGGACCACCTACTGGATTGAATATAAATAGTAAAATCAGGAACTATTTGGTACCAAAACTGCAAGACCAATTCAGACCTCATAGTTCTTAATGATATTGTTAAGGTAAAGAATCACTAACAGGTTGTTATTCTAAACCTTTCACCCTATCAGGATAGCCAGTCATGCCATTTTAAAAATAACTTTTCTTAAAACCTATAGCTTAATAAAAAACAACACCACCAAAGAGTAAACCGTGAAGATTCCTTCACTTGGAGGTCACTGCCARTTGAGGAATGATAAAAATTTTCGAAGATATTTAAAAGAGATATTTTCTCAATCCTTATACTTCCTGTGATGGAGTTGTAATTTTCTCCTGTTTTTTTTCTGCAGTTGTTTCCATGACCTAATGGATTAACAAGAACTAAGTGGGAGCTATGAGTTAACTTTATAGCATGTTAAAGAAAGGGATATGAAGTAAAACAGCTGCAAGCAGTGAAAAGGCACAAATTTTATGATTTCATTTTCTCCTTGGTAGAAAATATGAAATGAAGACCTTATCAAAAGTTAGTTTTGTGAGCTGAGGATAAATTCTATGTATAGGAGTCAGCACTGTCAAAGGGAAATCGTTTGCTTTTCCCAATCCCTTTATCATTGGCTGACATTTTAATCATGATCATATTATTCTTTCATAGTCTTACCTAGTACTTAAGTGATACCTGAGCAACACCTTTTAATTCCATCCTCCTTGTGTCTGTCCACATTCCCTGATGTTGTCTTCCCTATCTATCCCTCATCAAGTGTGAAGGACCTGGGTACTAGGATTGTTCTTGAAATCAGCAGCATAAATGAGTACCTAGACCTTAAGTTCTAATCTGATATACCAATTTAATAAAGCAGAATCTTATAACAATTGTGATTATTACTGCTACAGAGGGGAGGCCTGACTTTACTAAACATATTTTTTGTGTCCATAAGGAGAAATTCATTAGAATCATCAGTGTATCAGGGGATGGACACTTACCTTAGAGCAATAGGGGCCTTACAAACAAATGAGAAAAGTGACATGTTTTCCTCCATTGGGGCCATTGGGATTTTAAGTCCCAAAGTGTCAATTAATGCTCTTGAAGGGATTATACTTGCTAGGCCCATTTCTCAGGAATGATTTTGGTGTGATTACTGCAATCTTTTATCCACCAGGGTATAATTATGATCACCAATCATGAACCTGTAACCCAAACATTACTCAGAACAATGATTTAATCTGTTTTTACCAGGAAGCAAATGCATTGTCTTGAATCACCAGAAATTTCTTTCCCACTTCCTCATCAGGCTAAGGGACAGCAATATAAATATAAATATCTTTTGTTGATATAACTCTAGATCCAAATGGTATTCTAATTATTTATCATTAAAAAAATTTAATGTTCTGAGGAATGATGATGGAGGAAATGAGCTAGGCAGTGATTCCAGAAACTCCTCAGAACAGAGAAAGGAGGCAATGAAGGAAAAACAGAGTTGAGAAGTAGGTGACAAAATAAATGCTCCAAGTCTTGACATGGAAAAGTCTGAGACCTGGAGAGACTTGAAGTTCAGTTATCAGAGTAGAAAATAAGCACAGTGGTTCCTTACCCCAAAATTGAAACACGATGGGAAATGGAGGAAGGGCCAGCAGGGAAAATCTCCTCAGTTCATCCATTTAAAACCATTTGAAAAGGCAGACAAAAATTTAAAGTGTGACAAGAACAACAGTGTCAGTAACAGAAGCCCCTTTCACTGTGACTGCTTAASAATCTGATCTGAATCCATTGGTGGGAGGTTCATAACAACTAAAGAATTGGCTCATGTGTCCCAGAAACTCTGGAGAGAGCGACAGCCAAAGAATGATGGACATCAGCTAAATGTCCAGACCCTAATGAAATACAAACCAAGATTCAACAAGAATTTAAAAAAAAAAATTGGCATGGTTTACTATAAATAACTCTAATGTCAACTTTGATTCTAAAAGTAACTCTTTTTAAATATAAACTATAGAACGGCCTCTGGCGGTTCAGCACTAGGATCCACACTCCTACCACCCCACCCCCCTCCAGCCGGTTCGGAGCAAC